GTATGTATATCATCTATCTCCGTATAATCCATTTTGTCTTGATTCTGCTGCAAATAATAATAATAATAATAATAAATATTAAAACTGGAATAAGATGCTCATTTCATCAGCAACCATCATTCAATCAGAAAGACACATAACAAATCAAGACTTTCATGCACAAATGATATGATATACATCCCTTATTAGATCAAACACACAATCTAGTTTAGTTAAAAGATTGAATCTTATATTAAACTAGCAGGGTGTTGCTCGTGCAATGCACGGTCCAATATGAGTAAGAACGAAATTAGGTAATTCACTACACACTAGCCATGCACAATTTCATAATGTGGGAGCTTTATTGTCATATCTTTTAGATGATTTGATGAGCTACCAACTTTTTTCATCTGGAATGGCCGAGTTTTTGCTCTAAAAGGAAAAATTTTGAAGTTTTTTTTGGAGCGCGAAGGAGCCTATGTTTTCAATTCACTAATCTTTGTGATTACATTTTATTACAACAATTATGTTTTTGATATATAATTTTTACTTATAGTTCAAAAGTTCAATAATTGTATCAAATATAAAATATTCATTTATATCTTTAAATAGTTCAATTACCTTAAATAATGATTTGTTCTTCAAGTTAATATTTTCTCTAATATTTTAATGATATAATATTTAATCACTTCTTATTTGAATTGTATGTTTATTATTTTTAAATATAGATAAATTATACGCATTCAGATGTTGAAAAATAAAAACTCTTAATCATTCAGTATTCAGATCTAGATACCCCATCTTAATATTCAGATGCACATTTAAATATAGACATCTTAATCTAAAATAAACATATGAGGCCTAAGCCTCACGGTTTTCCCCTTTAAGCATTTCGTAATCACGACTTAACTGAACTTGTGCCCCATAAACATCATTGACTCCTCCCAAATTTGAGCGACGTCTTTGAAACTCCGAGATACAAGATAAATAATATAATAGCTTAAACATTTCATAAAGTGCATTAATGAAAGCATTAAGTATTTAAATGCAAACATAAGAAGACTCAGTCATGAGGCATCAAAGATAGTAAGCGTAGCACTTTTTAATACTTACGGAGTTTAATCTGTAATGATATTATCGCTCTACCGGCATATTGTTATTGGTCGAATATATAGCGAATTCCTCCAGTATGGATTGGAAAACAGTTAGTCATCTCCCGCTTGGAGAGATCAAGTGCAATCCTCTAAGGATCCTTCACTGCCCCCAAAGCACTAAGTGATGCGCTAAGGGCGAACACAACACACAATTTTGTTACATTTAAAAAAAAGTCACAAGAAATTTGAGATTCACTTTCAAGAAATTGATTAAAAAAACATGGGAATAAGGTAGAGTGCAATAGTTTCAGCAATACAACTACTAAACCCACGAAATTTAATCATTTTTTAAAAGCTTAATTAACTTCATATGATATTATTGTTTATATTGGTAAGGGTTAACTAAAGTAATAAAATATTAGCCATGTGTTTGTAATATATTACCTTAGATTTTATTGTAAAATACTTTATTTACTAATATGAAGATTTGAGTAGTTTCATTCAAAGTTCTAAAATATTTTTAATGTTAAAATAGGCAATGTTTCTTTCTTTCCCTTTTAATTTTTTTGTACTTTTTTCCAAATTCAATATTATCTAAAAAAAATAAAAAATCCACTACTAAGCAAAGAATTTACTGGCATTCCTCTCGAGCTGCTCCAGTTTAATTATGCAATTTAATAAAATATTATATATTTTGTTATGAACTTCTCAAACAACACAATTGTAAATAGGAATGGTGAACTATTCGTTCATTAATGGAAACTCAGTACATGGATGTCACGTCCCAAACTACCCCCTAGACGTGACTGACACCCACCTAATATCACCTGCCGGGCGAACCATACTTTCTTACCTTAGTCATTTATTTGCAGCATTTGATTAATTAAATGAGTACCTAAATAATCTGATAACTATTACGAACAATTAATATCTCAAATATTAGATTAAAACTCTAGCCCAAATCCCACACTAGACCATGGAGCATCTAAGAGAATTACAAAAGGCCTCATATGAATAAATAATAAAAGACTCTTTGGGCAGCCTCCACGAACAATGCGGCGGCTCACCTCAATAACTTAATCAACTCTAGCGAACTCGTCGGCTACTAGCTTCGTCTTCACCAATAGTATCTCCATGGACATGCATGTAAGGAGTGAGTTATACGTAAATATAACCCAGTAAGATCATCGACCCGCCACTCTGAATACCTCTGGAACAAGTGTTAGAAAATATAAACACACAATGATCACACAAATAATATGCACAGAAATTCTTTTATCATATAATTACTCTATAAGGTCCAAATAATTATTCAACAACAATACTACATATATCTCAGCACAATCTACACTAAGGACTTATCATTAACGGCAGTGTAGGAAATTAACCAAACACCCCAAAGCATACACAATGCCCCAAATCTATCACGGCGGCATACACAATGCCCCAAATATATAGCGGCGGCATACACAATGCCCCAAATATATAGCGGCGGCATACACAATGCCCCAAATATATTACAGCAGCGAAGAAATAATTTCTAACGCTCCAACGCCATAGCACAAGGCTAAGCCACATCACACCTACACTACAAATCACTTATTAAATAATTTTAGCTTTTTACAAAATAATATATTTTTGCGGCTGGTCAAAGACCACTGATTTTACCAAGCACACGCTCGTTCCAACACATGGACCAGGCAGGAAAAAAAAAACATAATTTCAAAACGAATTTTAGAAAAGCAAGCATCAAAACTTAAAGTCTCACTTACCTCACTAATGGGAAGTTCCCCAATCTTGCAATGCCTAGAACACCAACCAAACGGCCTCCAATGGCCTCAATCTATTCAAAATATTGAATAACACGTCCTAATTAGTCTAGGTGAATAATTTTCATAATCTCAGGACAGTCAAAATCAAAGTCAACCCCGATCCAATTACTAAAAATCTGTACAAATTAGCAAACGCAGAACATGAATGTCGTAGCAATGCAACTGTAGAATGCATTACAATGCCTTAATTTACCCAATCTCATTATAAACCATTCTAATCATTGAATCATCATTACTTTATCTATAAATTGTGGACTAATCATTAATTAATCCCTGAAAGTCCAATTTGGTGCCGTAAAAATCTAGACTTTGTAGTAGTAGAAGTCAGTAATTCTTTTCCCCAAAAACTATACAACGAAACATATCCTTAATCCCTTAATTATTACTTAACAAAATTCTATTCAAAATCCTTACCAAAATCACTACACATACCTTGCTCTTGGGGAGACTCGAACTCACAACCTCTTGGTTGGAAGTGAAGGTTGCTTACCATCAGACCACAATAGCGCTACGCCCACCAGAAAATTTACTTGCACACTATTGTATACAATTATAGGAGTAGTAAATTTCCTCAACTAGCTTAATATTTCACTCAATAACTATAAATAAAAATTAATTCTCTAATTTCACAATTAATAAGTATTTTAAAAAAAATATTTTGAATTATTACAATGGAATTAGAAAATAAGAAGATAGACATTATCATAACAAGGATAGTAAGAAATAAATGAGGGATAGAGATTTCAAATTGCAGTTGTTGATTGGATTTTTATTAGGTGAATTCGGCAGATTGGACTAATCAATTTTGTAAATAGTCAGCATGTCATAAGTTGAATGGAATGGATAAACATAAAAAGTAGTACTATCTATGTTTGACCATGTGTTTTATTATTCAATCCCTTATATAATTATAGAAATTACACTGCTGTACAAACCACAAAGATTTGTATTTGAACAATTTAGGACTCGTTTGGTCATAAATTTTGTCAAAATAAATTTGAGTTTTATTTGGCAAATACATGTTTGACTATAAATTTTGCCTGTATTTTGATAAAATCCCAAAATATTACTATTACATTTTTCAAAAATTGCCTCATACTTTTGTATTTTATAAAAGAGCTCATCATTTATTATTTTGTAATAATGTTGCTTCATTTTCTCAGTAATCTGATAGTGTATCATGTAGTTCATTATAAAAATGATAATTTTGTACCAAATTTATTTATGTTCGGGACTATAGTTTGCGATAATTTAATGAATGTTATTGATAATAGTACTGTTAGGTATTTGTGATCGTTTTTAGAATTTTTGGATATATGTTTTGAAAACTGATGTCCAAACACATTTTCATGTTCAAACCAAACTCCATATAAATCAGATTTTTTAAAATAAATTTGAAAATTTATGATCAAACACTAGCTTACACTAAAAATTATATAGTATCAGCTCCTTGTACTTGTAGTGGTAACAACTTTAAAAATAGTTTATTTATTTTTACAGAAAAACACTTATTTTTACCGGATACAACAATAACTTATTTTCCGAATACGTAGCTGCTAAAATCACTTCCGACACTTAAAAAGTGTTTTCACATTTTGGTACTTCTTAAAAGGGGAGAAATTCAAAAATAGTTAGATTTACAAGTGGTCATTCAAAAATAGTTATAATTTTAAAAGTAATTAAAATTTAGCCACTTTTCAGGTAAAGATAAATATGAACGAAAATACTATTCAAAATCCGGAAAATACTCCAGCATAATATACTATAGTTTCAGCATAAGTATACTGGAACTACATCATATTATAATGGAGTTCCAGCATAACTATATTGGAACTCCAGCATAATACACTGGAGTTCCAGTATAATATACCAGTCCAGTATAATATGCTGGAAATTCATACACAAGTGCTCCAATCTCCAGTATATTATGCTGAAACTTTCTGCGTGTTGAAATTCCAGCATAATATGCCGGAAGTTCATGCACAGGTGCACCGATCTCCAGTATATTATGTTGGACCGGTCCCTATTGCAGCAAAATAGTAATTATTTTTCAATAAATTTATAAATGCGGGTTATTTTTAAATGATAAGTCCGAAATCTGGCTAACGGTGCTATTTTAACACTTAAAAGCTACCAAACGGGCTCTATTCGCTTTTCTGCTAAACGGATCGTCGAAAAAGTTCGGTAATTTTTCTTACTTTTCTCTGCTATTTTTTTTTTGGGTCACTTTTTAGTTGTTTATTTATGTATTTTCAATTTCTCAACATACTCAGTTCAGTAATGGTCAATTTATCAGATTAAATACGTGAAATTCGTTTTATGTGTGATATTTTATATCATGGGTAATTTTGTGTAATTTTTCTTTTTGTGAAGGTGGGGGGAATTCATTAGGGGAAGTTGAATGGTCAAAATACTGGTGAAATGTTAGCTTATAAAATCATCAAGAAAACATTAAGATGGAACTATATTTTGTTAGCAAGTCGATCCTTTTCTGTTGTGACGAGTGAAGCAGACAACATTTTGTCCCTAATTAATATGAGGTAACTTTTATTAATTAAAGCCTCTTCAATTATTATGTGTTTTTTGGGATATTGGAGAAAATTTTCTGATGTTAAGCTTTCCTCTATGTGTTTTAGTAATTTTGTTGCTGTGGTGTTTGATGAATTACTCATAGCCTAAGGTATTAAAGATTTATTTTGTTCCCGCTAATAGCGGAGCCAGGAATTTTATTAAGGGGTGTCAAAATTTAAAAAAACGAATACATAAATAAGTTAAGGGGATTCAAAATATAGTATATATACGAAGAATTTTTTTTTTACCTATCTAAACAGTGTAATTTTCCGGATTGACACCCCTTGGAGCTATGTGGCTCCGCCGCTGGTTCCTGCACCATTTAATTTGTTTCCTCACCATAAATCTAGATAGTCATGGGTTTGGAGTTTATAGTGACAACCAAGAATAAATCGACGGAACACTTAAATGTAATGCATATACTTGGAGTTTCTCTGTGTTGGAATCATAATGACTGTGAAAAAAATCAAAGAAGCAGTCATGTTAAAATCATGACAACTAACTGTAGAACACTGTGGGAGAGAAATTGTTGATGTTTCCTGATAAAATTAGAAAAAGAGCTGATCTACCAGTGAAGCAAATTAATTGATACTGCGGTTCTTCATTTAGCAGTTATTAGCTCACCCTGCTTTTACTAAACTTTTTTCATGGCTAGATTGAAGTCATTTTCCAAAATAAATCTAAGTATTATGTCCAGAAAAAGGTAGCTGTTTAATGTGTCATTGCATTTTGATCAGAAGATGGGAACCCAGAAACTCTTTTTTACAAATCTTGGGAAGTTTCATGCTATTCTTTCAAATTGAGTCACTTCGGTGCAATGGTTTTTCTGCAGTTACTTTAAGTCAAGTGTTTTGGAAAAATTCTGTGTTCTTTAAAGCTACTGTGCATGGTTTTCACTTTTAGCTTTTCTTTTGATTAGTTTACTGGCATCAAGTGAATTTTGACAAGCAACTCTTCTTTTTTCACCTTTTCTTGATAGTAAAGTAACTACTGCCTTGCAGCAATGACATTGAAGGGGGAGCATTCCAATTGCGAAGACAAATGAGAAGGGATTCATTATGTAATTCTTTGTTTAATCAAGATCATAGGGTGGTTAGAACGAGTATCGGATCTTTTTCTTTGTCAAATTGTTATTACAGCAGCCATGGATATTTAAAAGACGTCAAAGACAAGGTATTCTATTTTTTGTCTCTGTGGATCTTTGATGTCATTTCATGTAGTGTGCTTTCCTGTTTTGATCTTTAATATTGGTGACCCTAACTTGTGCAAGGGTTAGACATATGCTAACTTCGTGGATCATCAGCTCTAAGTTCTTTGATTTCTCTCTCTATGATGTTGGAGCCATCTAATATATTGTTTAGTCCTTAGGATCTGTCCCTGAAGTTGTCAAGATAGTAGAAGTTGGCCCAAGAGATGGTCTACAAAATGAGAAGACGATAGTACCTACAGAAGTGAAGGTGGAGCTTATTAAATTACTTGTTTCTAGTGGACTGCCAGTTGTTGAGGCTACTAGTTTTGTGTCTCCAAAGTGGGTACCACAGGTATACAAAATTTTGCTTGTCCTAGGGGATCTTATCTTTATGTATCTTGCATTTGTCATCCTTATATATACTTGACTTACATAATGTGCTTTTTGTTGCTAATTTGTCCTCACCAACTGTGTGAAACGACAAGAACTTTCCTCAGTTCAGTCATTTGACTGTTAATTTTTCATCTTAAAGCATGAGAACAGGGGTTTTCTTATGGTCGTTAGTTACTCACTAGCTAGGACCATTACTAAGGCCCTTAAAGGTTGTTTCTTTTGTACTTTGTTTATTTTGCAAAGATCCACATGACCATGACAGGCATTGTTTAATGCTCTTTGAGTGCTTTTGTAATTCATTTTGGATTTTTGAGGAGAAATCATGTGGTTCCTCAAAGATCTGGTTCCCTAAGGTAGAGATATTAGGAAAGGTTTCCCGTTTCAAGGTTCAAGTGCTCGATTAACTTTTTGCTTTCCAATAACAATGTTACAAAATGTCAAATGGTCAAATGAGTAGTGTATGTGTGGAAATGGTTTGGAACAAGGTTGAATGCTTACGCTGATAAATTGTTTGTATGTTGCATTTTAATCAAGTTCATACTTCTATATCATGAAGGGTGTTCATTCTGCTTGATATCTGCAAGTCATGTCAATTTCACTAAAAGTTCAAACTCAAAATTGTACTCTCTCTCTCTACTCACATCTTCTCCCGTTTATGATGTCCCCCTTCTCTTGCGTAATGTGTTCTTTTCTATATGTATAAATTCTTTGAGGTTCATCAACCAAATTTCTGATTTTGGCATGCACTTTACATTGTTTTAGTCATGATTTAGTTTTAGTCGTGTTAGTAGGTTTGTTATGTCTAATGTTCATTAGGAGTCTTTTGCCTTGTCAGAGCCTTATGTTAGCACCCAGAGAGTGCAATGAAAAAGTAGTACGACCCCAACAATATGCATCTCAGTACACTAGCAATATGTGAAAAGAACTAATGAAATTAACCATTCTATCTACTTCTTGTACATTTTCATTTTTACCCCAATAGGTTAAGAGATCTAAACATCATGCTTTAAGTTACAACCTTTTTCCTTTTTGCCTATGAAGTATCTTTTGTTTCTCTCCTTCCACTTAGTCTACCATATAGCCATTGGTATATTATTCGACAACTTTTTGTCACCTTTTTAGTTCCTCCTCTATTCCAACAAAGTAACACATCTTTATAATTTTCTGGCTTGCACCATTTAACTTCAAGCAAATTCAAAAACTTGTAATCTGATTTGTGATTCTACAGTGGATGAATAAGTGCTTCGCGTCTTCATAATCTTCTTCATTCTTTACGAGCCTACAATCTTCAGCTTCCATCTCCATTTTAGCTATAAGAGTTATAAGCCTTTGTGTTAATTTGTTGAGATTAATGGAAACACTTCCTGATGACTTAATCTTGTGATAGGCTTGTTAATGATTCTTTTAATTTATGTGCATGAATGTGCTTTTGTGTAGCCGTTCATGAACTGTATTTTTGCAGCTTATCCCTCAATCACTATCTGTAGAATCAAGGTTTAAGCTACCAAAATGACGTAGTTATTATTTAGAGAGTTGATGATATTGATTCTTTGAAATATTTACCAAAACCAAATTGCAGCTAGCTGATGCAAAGGATGTAATTGAAGCAGTTAAGAGTCTTACAGGGGTCCGCTTACCTGTTTTGACACCGAATCTTAAAGTAAGCTGATAGAAATGCAAAGAGTGAGACTCTCCTTTATATGTCTTGTTGAATATGTATTCATTTTCATGCTCGCACTGGAACCTGGATAATGGGGATCGCTCATAATTGTCATCGGTCCTATTTCAGGGTTTTGAAGCAGCTGTTGCAGCTGGAGCCAAGGAAGTGGCAATCTTTGCCGCAGCATCCGAGTCCTTTTCTAGGTCTAACATAAATTGCAGCATTGAAGACAGTCTTGCTCGTTATCGTGATGTTGCTCTTGCAGCCAAAAACCATTCCATCCCCATTCGTGGGTATGAGTTCTAGCATATCTACATATTCTAGGAATTAGGTCTAACGTTTCCAATTTTACCGAATCAACATTTGTGGCAAATTTGTGATTTTGTCTTTTCCTGATTATTAAACTCTACCTACATCTATGAGCTCAAATTATTCCTTTCTCAGTGGTTAGATTTCAACGTTCCAAAAAAATTGGTTTCTGGTATTGGATATATCTTCAAATCAAGGTAACTCTTGTATTTCAAGTTCCAAATGAGCACTAGTCATAAATTTGTTAGAATAACTGGTAGTAATGGGTAGGAATATGTTCGTTGGTTGTATGAGAGTTTACCTGGAGAACTAAAGTTGTATCTATTTAACTGAAAAAGTGGCTATCATTATTTTCTATCAGGTATATATCATGTGTTGTTGGCTGTCCCGTAGAAGGAGCAGTGTCTCCATCAAAAGTTGCATATGTGGCTAAAGAACTGGTAGATATGGGTTGCTTTGAAATTTCTCTTGGTGATACAATTGGAGTTGGTACTCCAGGTAATTCTAAATCTTCGCTGCTTTCACATTTTGCCATTTTGTACCTTTGATCTGCCAGAAGAATCTGTATCTTGTGCCTGTGGTAAAATTCTAGTACGTGCCAGCAAATTACATTGCTTGTTAGTAATTCTGATTCTTATTTGAAGAAGAATTTTATTTGCATTTCACTTCTTTGTTTGAGAAGATAGTGCTGGATTACTTTCAGCTACACGCTACTGAGCCAACATAGACAGCTAAAAGATATATTTGCTTTATTTAGAGAGTGCAGTGTTACTATGTTATTAGTTAATTAGTAACACATTTTAGCAGAATTGGATTGCTCTGTAGAATTGCTGGATTTTAGATTCAATTTCCAGTGACAGATAGTGATGACATCTTACGCTTTATGCTGGAATGTATTAAGTTATGTTTCAATGTGGTCTTCTCTGGCTTTAAGAGAATAAAAATATTTTTTTTTAAAAACTTTCAGGATAGTGCCAAGTAGTTTTTAATGCAATGTTACCTTGCTGGAGCCAAAAGCCTGGGATTTAAGTGGAGAAAGGTAGAGGGGTGGGCCATTATTCACCGAGTTTCGAACCGTGTGCCACGGGCCCTCAGGGATTTCTTGGTTATGAAAAAAGGTTTTTAACGCGGTGCTTTCTAGGAAACAGAAAGAAGTTAGTGTATAATCCTTAAAATAATTGATATGATATCATCTATCAAGTGTTAACTGTTAAATGCTTGTACTGGTCATGATAACCTTGATAAAGGCATGATAGGAAAGACAATGGTGTTCACCTTCTGTGAAGTCTACGCACGATAGGCACAATGCGATATCTCGATTGCTTAATAAGGAGATGAAATGGCTGTGAAGTCAATGCAGAATCCATATGAAAGTATTGGCTCTATGAATCTGTTTTTCAACTAAATTGTCTATGCCGGAACTACTAACATAAGTGCAATGAATGTTCATCAAATGGTTTTCCTTAAAATTAAAAGAAGACATTTACTATTTGTCAATCTTTTCTTGGGTTTTATGTGAAATTGATTTGATTGTCAAAAACGTCATTCCTTGCTTCAGCAAACCATCTTTTATTTGTTGCATCTTCCCATATTTTCTGTCTCCAACTCTCCATTTTTTAGGTACTGTTATTCCAATGCTTGACGCTGTAACCCAAGTTGTCCCAGTAGAGAGGCTTGCTGTTCATTTTCATGACACTTATGGACAAGCTCTTTCCAACATTATTGTGTCGTTGCAAGTAAGATCTCCTTTCTCTATTTCTTGTAGTGAGATAAGTTTTTCAGATGTTTTTTCTGGCCGTTTCGATCACATTGTGAGAACATTTGTTTGCTGTATCGTCAATGGCGGAGCCAGGATTTTTATTAAGGGGAGTCAAAATATAAAGAAACAAACTCACCAAGAAGTCAAGGGATGTCATTATATAGTATATATACATATTTTTTTAAAAGTTACCGAGCTAAACAGTGTAATTTTCCGACGAACCTTGGGTGCATGTGGCTCCGCCACTGTGTATCGTTGGTACTGTATCGATCCAAGTTAAAAGGTCTAGGATGTCTTATTTTTTTTTCTTATGCAAGCTGGCTTGTGAAAACAAATTGCAACAAGATGAATGTAAAATGAAAAATAGTGAAGGTATCTAGTAATCACAGGAACAACTCGGCTAATTGATCTGGCAAGAATGGCCCAAAGAACTTTCGTCACCTTTTTTGATTTCCCCTCTTTTGGAAGGGAAGCTGTGGGGAATTAATTAATTAATTACAGAATCTTCAAGCGTTTTGTTTCATTCGGGAAATAATTTTCTGTACCACTTCAAACATTAACATTGTATTTTCTTCTGTCATCCTTTTTGGAACGTAATTTTTGTTAAAGAGGTGTTAGGAATAAAAATCCTGATAATAAAGTATCGCATGAAAAGGATGTTAACAACTGCGCGGTCATTCAGTGTGTGGTTCTGAGAGGATAAGGGCAGATAAAAAAGATTATTATGTTAAGTTTGGTAGAAAATGAGTCTCCTGGCTGGATTATATTTAGGATTTGTTAGCTATAGAAAATCCTGTTAATATATTTCTCCCGGAGGACTAGGGATTACAATCTATAGATGAGCTTGTGTAGTGTCATTGTGGCCCGTCTAATATAAATAGGGGAAAGGGAGTCTTTTCCACCATTTTCCTTGGTTCTTCCTTCTGCATCTCCCCGATTCCAAACCCACCTCTTTCCCCCTCTCCAACTTCTCATGAGCAACTTTCCGGACCCCAGATGCTCTGATGTTCCTTCATTCCCTTTCTCTAATCCTCTCTGATCCCAGCTCCAAGTGATAAGGACTTCCAACTCGCTACGAGCGTGGTCATCCTTCAATTAGTTTAGTCGCAAATCTAACCGTACTTGGGATTTTGTATACTTGGTCCTTTTGAAGTCATCCTTAGAACCTGTTAACACGACTCTTAACGCTTTCACGACTGGCTCTCCGGCTTCCTCTGCATCAGCCTCCTTCCCGACCTCGGTTTCGATGTACAACAGGTGGCAGACACCTTTTACGCTACATCTCAAGTAGCTGTGCCACCGAAATGGCGTCTCGCGCTCGACAATTGTGTGTTCATCATTGGGAAGGACATGAATAGGAATTAAATTCCTACTTTAGACTCTTTACACATGATCTAAAATCAAAGAGAACTTTGTAAATGTCATCGTAGCCTTACAGTTTTGTGTGTTGTGCGACACACCCATAAGTAGGACTCTACTAGATGCAACACTATGATTTCTATGACACACCTAAATATTGTGCTCTGGTTCCAAGTTGCACGACCCCAACCATAGGGCAGTGACCGGCACCCCATGAGCCAGATGTCAGGCGAGCTTGGTTCTTAACCTTGTCGTAAATCCGAGCGACCCTACATCGCCATGCATCAGTAATACTAAACATAATCATCCCATAGAAAGGCTCGAATGATGACATATCTGACTTAAGCCTCGACGAAGCATAGTCTAAATACGATCCCATACTCACACATCTACCCGTAGTGGGTCCTGAAGCTTCTAAGCAATTTGTTGTACGAACTGTCAATTGAGTATAGCTTGAGTAAAATGAGAAAAATAAACCAACCCGCCACTGTAGTGGGGCTCACAAACAAAGCTCTGTATATTGGTACTCAAAACTCGTTACCGGAGTATTGACTAAACCCGTACACACGAAGGCAAGGGAGTTAGCATAAAATTGCAGAGTTTTAGGACATAAAGTTGATTTGATTAGGGTCTTTGCATGTGCATCTTGTTACCATATCTGGGTCATTCCGCAAATTACCTAATTGTTGGAAGTGGCATAAACTTATTATGTATTCTTAGACACTTTGAACCTTAATGCATAAATATTGCTTTATTACCGAAGTGTTTTTATCTTGATAGATGGGGATCAGCACAGTGGATTCATCTGTATCAGGCCTTGGGGGTTGTCCATATGCTAAAGGTGCCTCGGGTAATGTGGCTACGGAGGATGTCGTTTACATGCTCAATGGACTAGGAGTGAAGACAAATGTGGATATGAGAAAGCTTCTATCGGCTGGAGATTTCATCTGCAAACATTTGGGTCGCCCTTCTGGTTCTAAGGCTGCTATTGCATTGAGTAGAACATCTACTGCTTCAAAGCTGTAAGGGGGACCTCCGATGCCTTTGAATTTGTACACTGCTCCCGCTCTGAGGTGAAAGTCACTTCACACCAACTCATACTGTACCATAATTTTCTTAAACATATCCATGACGATGTGCGTCCTCGTCAGTGGCTGATGTAGTCGCCGGGTTTATCTAAACCCAGTACTTTTGCCGCGGAGCACAAATTTATATGTAAAAATTCATTAAAATTGCTACAAATGGTAGGTCTGAACACATAATTTTAAAAATACTATAGGTTCAATACTAAAAACCTTAAAAGCTGAACCACAAAATCTAAATCCAGCATCCCTTCTGGTCCTAGTGACTGACTGGATTGCTCTTTTGAGAACTGCACGGAGGGTGGTAGACCTGTATAATGCAAACTCATTACTAGTAACAAGTTCATTTACACTGATACCGAGCCTAATAATCCTTGTATTCATGGAATAGTCAATTTCTTATCGCCGAGTCTGGATCTCTGTATGACGAGCATTATATACTATAGGGTTAGAGACATTCCAAACTATATACTTAATTTAGAGTAAGGCTGCGTACAATAGATTCTTGTGGTCCGGCCTTTTTTATGAATTATTTTACGAACTTAAGTTTTCTTAGGAAAAAAAAAAAAACTTATTTAAGCATGTTGAAATTGCAATCTCCTAAATAGTTTTAAAAAATATTTTTCAATTTTAAGATTTTCTTTTGTAATATAACATAGGTGATTATATCCATTCTTAAGTTTGTGAAGCACAACTTAAACCGAATGAACTTCATGGTATGGGAATCAAAAGAACTTCATTATTTACAAGGGAAATTAGCAGCTATGTCCATTTATAAGTAGCTCATTACAAAAATTGGCCAATTGATAAAATATTACTACTATTAGCCAAATTAGCCATTTAGCTATTTGTAGCAAAAAAATATCAAATTGCTTTGTTTTGAGTGGGTGTTATTAGAATAGATTGGGCACAACTTAAGGAGCTTGAATATCAGTTTTGGGATGATTTGGTGAAGTTTTGAGGTGGTTTGAATTGAAAATTTAAAGTAAAAGCTTAACATGAAAAAAATGATGTGTATCATTTGTGTATCACATATGTATCATATTTGTATCAATAGTGTATCCCTATGTGTGAGATACATGCGTGATGCATGTGTTGCAGAAGACTTTTTTGAACTCGATTTGATTACGAATTTTGATACAAAACCAGTCCAAATCACCTCCAATCTTCCTCAAATTTTGTATATTGATTTATCTATATATTTTCAATGACCCATTGAAAAAGTTCCTTTTTTGTTTAGATTTTTGGAATATTGTATAGATTTTTGTATTTCATTACCTTATTTGTTACCCCGTCCATGAAATTTCCTTTCCGTCTTGTATGTAATGTTGCTAATCACGCTTAAAAATATGGAAGGGGATTTTTGCATGTGATTCTTTGATAGAAAGAACCCTATTATTTGGTTTTTTAATTTTTGTTGGCTAATTTGGTAAGTCTATGACTAATGGCTAGAGGTTGGTAAGTTTAGATTTATTTGTGTAAGTTTTCCTATTTATAACACCAACTATTAGTAACCGAGACGATCTTATTATTTCATCTTTTTGAAATATTTATTTATTTTTCTATACAGAATTTGTTCCGGAAAGACATATTAATACATGAAATGGATGAACATTACAGACATTCCAAATCTACTTCACGACTTTCAAATTATTTGACAAATTTATTGTTTCTTAAAAAAGTTTGTTTAAGCATAGTCATATCGCAATCTCAAAAATATTTTATAAAAATGTATCTCGCTTTTAAGATTGCCTTCGTTTAACATATGCAATTATATTCATTCTTAAGCGGTTTTGTGAAACGCACTTAGGCGATTTAACAAGCTCTATTGTTAATAACACAAATATTAAACAATCGAGTAGGTGATTCAGAAATAATTAAGCGATTTCAGATTAATAGTAGGGCAATTTCAAATGTATCATAGGCGATTATATTTATTTCTAAAGGCGATCAAATTATTTTATTTTACTAATTTGAATTAAATTTACTTATTTCATATATATAACTTAGTTAAGAAAATTTAAAACAACAAAAAGTTGTTCATAAACATTATATCCTGGGAGACTTCATTACATGAAGTTGATGAACTTCATAAACGTTTCAAAAAAAATTCCATCTATTTTCTATTTTTTTCTTCCTCATAAGTCCTTAACATCGGGTAGAAAAATACCTGAAAAATATAAAATCTCCTCAACGAAAAAAAAAAGCATTTCGTAAACCTTGATGCTCAAACTTGATGGCTTAAATTGAATTGCTTGGATTGACCTATGCTTTTTCATTTTTATCATCAACTTTTTATTGTGGATGAACAAAAATTAAAAATTATTATAAGAACGGGAAAAGGGTTAAAATTATTTTAAAATTGTAAAATTCCTCTTTATACTAATTTCCTCTCCATACGTATAAAGTGCACATTTTGGTAATTATTTTTCTAAAATAAAACTCTATCTTCTCCCCCCTCATTCCCTCATCATCTTCAAAAACCTTATCAAATAAAGCCACCGGCGATGGCGACGATTGCAGCCGCCGTAGCGGCGGCTTCCTCCGCCTTCACCTCTCTCCACCTCACTCGCGCAACTCCCTACACGCGCCGCCACATTCACACTCTCATCACATCCTCACTCTCCTCTTCCTCCTCAACTGAATTCAACATATCCTTCGCTCCTCCAAAACCAAAACCCAATAAACCAGAACCCTCACTTCCCATAAACCCTAATTCCAGCTCGGACATAGCCGAACTCGGTGATCAATTCTATATCCCCTGGATTGTTCGTGATGAAAAAGGTAACCTCACTCTCCAATCGACTCCTCCGGCGCGTCTACTCCACGACATGGCTAATGCTAGCACAAGTAAGAAGAATAATAAGAAGAGCAAACAGATTGCTGCTAAAGCCGCGACGGTGGGTCCTACATCCGAGCCTAAGTATTCAAAAGCAGCTCGCCGGTTTTATAATGAGAACTTTAGAGACCCTCCCCAACGCCTCAGTAAAGTCCTTGCTGCTTCCGGAGGTAACTTTAGCATCTCTAGTTGTACCCTTTTCAACATTGTGCAAAATTAGAAACAATGTTGTAAAGTAAGGGAAGAATATTGATATTTATTTATGAGCAGATATCCGTGGAGCTAGCTTGAGTGCTACTTTCATAACATCCCATGCATGAAGATATTTGTCTAATCTTTTGAAATATTGCTAACAACATTGACAACAACTATGCCTCCATTAGGAATCTACTTGGGTTGTGTAGATAAATCCTTTATATTGATTCAGCTATGTTGGGACCCGTTTCATTACAATACTCATCAAACAAACCGTGAAAAAAAAAAATACTCCCGCCGTATCATTTTATGTGATATACTTCCACTTTAGTCTATCCCAAAAAGAATACCACATTTCTACACTTAGAAACTTTACTTTGAAGTTTCATTTTAGCCTTAATGAGATGATTTATAACCTGAGATCATTTATAACCACGCAAATGTGTATGATTAGTTTTTGACCTCAAGTTTCAAAAGTTTTTCTTTCTTAAATTTCGTGGCCAATCAACCACTGCCACATAAAATGGGGCACAGGGAGTATATATATTGAGAGACTAACGACATAGATGAGGGAATCCTTCAATATGTTCTGCTCCATTATACTCATTAGATGAGAGGAGACTAAAAGAAATGAGAGAAGAGACGAAAAAGATTTGCGCTTTCTAATTGCTGATGACATAGATTGTGTTATGCGATATCTTAATATCTTAAAGAGAATTGAAGTGACATCATCAATTTCTTAAGTTGTAAGTAATAGATAGTTTCTGCTGCCATAGACTGTGTTAAGAGGGGAGGG